TATTGAGTCTCTCTCTCTCTGTCTCGCTCTTTTTTTTTTTTTGATGAAAAAATTCAAAATGTTTTATTTTCATTTTGAAGTGGGACAAAGACATTTGGATACAATCTGTCTTACCTGCAGGAATTCACTCGGTGGCTGCCGACGTTTCTCTCGTAACTCCCTTATCCGGTCACTGAAAAACGAAATCTCCTCCAGGAGCTTGGTAACACTCTCTCTCTCTGTCTCGCTCTTTTTTTTTTTTTGATGAAAAAATTCAAAATGTTTTATTTTCATTTTGAAGTGGGACAAAGACATTTGGATACAATCTGTCTTACCTGCAGGAATTCACTCGGTGGCTGCCGACGTTTCTCTCGTAACTCCCTTATCCGGTCACTGAAAAACGAAATCTCCTCCAGGAGCTTGGTAACATTCTCCTTCCCTCTCTTTGCAATGTCCCTGTTCAGCTCTTCCAGCTGGGCCAGCAAAGGCTGCCTTTCTTCCTGCAAAATCTTCTCCAGTTTCCCAAACTCTGACATGATTTTCTCCTTCACGGTTTGTGTCTCTTGCTGTGATGAACAGACACAGTCAGGGAAAGGGTGAGTCAGGGACATGGGGAGAGTCCTGAGACCCCCGTGTGCAGGTGGGAAAGTTTAATTGCAACCCATGAAAGTGTAACCTAAAGGCAGTTCCTGAGAACCCTCATCTAGAGTTACAAGAGCAAAGATTTTGCTATCACCTCTTGATCAGCTCTAGTTTATGGTACAAGTTTGTCACCTCTGTCATGACTAACGGCTCCTTGCCATCTAGATCAGAGGTCTCCAACCTTTTTAAGCACAAGATCACTTTTGGAATTTAAGTGCAATCCAGGATCTACCTCTAACCCAAATAACCTTGCTCCACCTCCTTCCCACTCCTTCTCTGAGCCCCCACCCCTGCTCACTCCATCCTCCATCCCCCATCCTCACTCACTTTTATCAGACTAGGGTGCAGGCTCTGGTCTTGGATTAAGGGATTTGGAGTGTGAGAGGGGCTCTGCGCGGAGCTTGGGGCAGGCAGTTGGGGTACTGGAGGGTTCTAGGTGCAGGCTCCGGGAGAGTGTTTGGATGCAGGGGGGGTCAGGGCTAGGGCAGGGGTTTGGGGTGCAGGAGGGGGTTCATGGCTGGGGTAGGGCTTGGGGATGTGGGCTCCAGCTGGACACTGCTGACCTCTGGTGGCTCCTGGGTTGTGGTGCAGTGAGGCTAAGGCAGGCTCACCCCTGCCCTGCCCCTGTACCACTCTCAAAAGCAGCCAGTAAGCTTCCTCCATCCCAAACCCTGTTGTTCCCTCCCCCCATTCTGTGGAGATAGGATACGGAGTGGAAGAGGGGGCATCCTGACATCAACCCCCCCCCCACCCTTTCCCTTCTCTGCCCTTCCACTTTTTTTGACAAAACCCTGTAGTCTAGACATCACCGGAGCACCCTGACATCAGCGCCCCTCTCTCCCTCCCCTGCACAGAAAACAGGAGGTTCCTGAGGATGGGGGGAGGCAGCTCCAAGGCAAAGGGCAGGCGGTGCATAGCAGTGGGGGGAGGGGCAGCTGACGTTTTGGCACTTGACAGCCTCTTGGCCAAACCAGTCAGGATCTCCTGTCAGAGGCTCCAGGATCTACCGGTAGCTCCCGATCGACTGGTTGGTGACCACGGCTCTAGATCATTCTACTAGCAGAAGGGGAAGCATTTGGAATTTCCCTGGAGGAGACTTACTGAGAGAGGCCAGGGAAGTGTGTGTGTGCGGGAGGGGAGAGAGGAAAAAACCTCTTAACAGAAGTTACAGAGGGGTCGCCGTGTTAGTCTGTCTCAGCAAAAGCAATGGGGAGCCCTGTGGCAACATAAAGGCGAACAAATTCAGTAGAGCTTCAGCTTTCCCGGCCAGTAGATTACATTGGGCACATCTACACTACAGTGTTATTTCAAAATAACAAGGTGAGTGTCCACACAACAAGCCTGCTATTTCAAAATCATTTCAAAGTGATGGGCTTGTTATTTTGAAATATTAACCACTGAATTTTTGGGAATAATGCCTCTTTTGAAATTGCTATTTCAAAATAGGGATAGCTCAGCGGCTGCTATTTCGAAATCACAACTCCACAGAGTAATTCAAACTCATTACTCCCCAGGGCTTCCTGGGGCTCTCAGTGAAGGTAGTGTGTACACATTAACAGTGAAGGGAGTGTGACTACGTTAAAGGAGCCTGCCTCAGACTAATTCCAAGGCTTCCTTGTGGCATGGATGTGCTATTTCAAAATAGTTATTTCAGGAGTTATTTCATAACAACCTCATAGTGTAGACATAGCCTTTGTCAGATACATGAAGTGGAAGCCTCAGGCAGGGGATGAAGATGGGAGTGTTTCATGTATAAATCCCATCCTGGCTCCTCTACTTCACGTGTCTGACAAAGCGAGCTCCTGCCCAGGAAAGCTTACGCTCCAATAAATGTGTTAATATTTAAGGTGCCACAGGACTCCTGGTTCTTTTTACTTTGTCTCAACAAAGCAGATTTATTGGGGGAAATCATTAGGTCGCTTACTGGAACACTAGCATTGTGTGTGCATGCCATGATATAGTGGCACACATAGGAGCAAATGCATTTAAAAAAATTAGTATGTTTACACAACAACAGATATCTAGGGAGACACACAATCTCCCAGAGTGCCACAGAGTCACAAAGAAACACACAAAGCCCTATATTGCCAAAGCCACACACCCATGTGGGGTAAAGATAATGGGCACCTACCTGCTGTTCCTGGCTCTGTTTTTCTTCATTACATTTCATTTTCAGAATACCTTCTTTCTTCTTATCCATATTGTTCAGATGGACACAAATTTGTCCCTAAGTACACAGAGAAAGAGAGAAACAAACAAAACAAATCCAAAAGTATGATTTTCTTCTTAGATCTAATAGGAAAAGTGGGTTTTCTCATCTGGATTATTCTGTCAACCAGTGCCTTCAAAAGTAATCATCATCAAAATTGAGATAGCATGTCTACATTAGGGAAGGCTGCCTTGGACTAAGTTTGAGGCTTCCCTGCAGTGTAGACGTGCTATTTTCAAATAAGCTATTCCAGAATAGTTATTCTGAAATAGTTTATTTCAAAATAGCTGTGCAGTGTAGATGTAAGGTACAGGCAGTAATCATAGACTCTTATGGATCCAGATTATAGATGCTAAATTTAAGTTTTAAAAGAATTGTAGTTAAATGGTAAGTAGGAAAGGTTGTATGTGAGGAGAGAGGGACACATCGGCAGAAAACACCTTGCTACAAGCAGGAACTCAACCAGACCTACCTGTAAAGTTCTCAGTAATAAGTCTCAGAGGGGTTGCCGTGTTAGTCTATTACAGCAAAAACAATGAGGGGTCCTATGGCACCTTTAAGGTTAACAGATTTATTTGGGTATCAGCTTTCGTGGACTGGAGCTCACTTTGTCAGATGCAGGAGTTAATTTGACTGATTAAGTGGGTTCCAGCCCATGAAAGCTCAGGCCCAAATAAATGTAAAAAACAGCAAATAGTTTGATAGAATTTTATAGACTAACAAAACATGTAGATGGGATCATGAGCTTTTGTGGGCACAGCCCACTTCCTCAAATGACCGTGTTCATCTTTAAGGTGCCACAGGACTCCTCATTGATTTTATCAGTAATAAGTGTTCACTGTTATTTAAAATCTCCAAAATCTTTTCTAATAGCAGCTAGTTAGCATCAGTGATGACAGGTTGCCTTGCAAATTGCTCTGCAATAGTATGTCCAAGGGTACAATTAGAAATGCACACTTAAGTGATTTGGTCCCATGGGTTATACAGCCCCCACAAAATTTACCGGCTTTAAAATTTGTCCACTTTTTAACCATGTTTTTGCCTACAGAAGAATGGGAATTATATGCAGAATCTAAGTATGTCTACACTGCACATTAACTAGTGCTATTCCAAAATAATGTAGTCTGCATCTACACAGCAGGCAGTTATTTTGAAATAGTGTCAAAATTCTGTCAAGCGGGAGGACTTCTTACTCCGACTCCTTCAACCCTCATTGTATGAGGAATAAGGGTAGTCGGAGGAAGAGGGCTCTGTTTCGAAGTAAGTGTTGTGATGCTCCCTATTTCAAAATAAGCTATGCCATTGACGTAATTCAATTGTGTAGCTTATTTCGAGTTAAGCCCTGCAGACACACCCTAAATGAAACTTACACGAGAGAACTCGTGCTGATCTCAGCGTATGAATGCCACCAAAAGCAAGCTTCATGATGTAAAGTTTCAGCAGCTGTCAGGCTTTCATTCTAGTTCTGTATAGTGGTACACAAGACTGCTGTGAGCCAGCTCTGAGGCTACGTCTACACTGCACCTTTTGTCGGCAGAGACAATGCAAATGAAGTGCTCATTAACATTTGTCACGCCATCATTTGCATATTCTTTGCTGATGCCTTTTGCAGAAGAGGTTTTTGTGCCAAAAGAAGCAGTGTAGATGGGGCTGTTTTATGGGGAAAAAAACCCTTTTGCACAAGATCCTGTATACCTCCTTTTTTGAGGCGCTTTGTTTGCATTGTCTTTGCTGACAAAAGGCTGCAGTGTAAATGTAGCCTGAGACAGAAGCAAGGATGCAAGACGTGTATATTTCAAGTCTGTTTTTTAAAGTGCTCTAAAATTCACAAGCCCATTTGGATCAGGTGGAAATCTCAGATGCCTTTTGGGGGCCTGCAACAGTGTAAGTTCAGAGCCACTTGGTTTGGCTGTTCCTGGGACACAGTGGCTTCGTCTAGACTACATCCCTTTTTCGGAAAAGGGATGTAAACTAGACGTATCGCAATTGCTAATGAAGTGGGGATTTAAATCTCCCCCGCTTCATTAGCATAAAAATGGCTGCCGCTTTTTTTCAGCACGGAGCTTTACCGAAAAAAAGCGCCAGTCTAGACGCCGATCTTGCGGAAAATAAAGCCTTTTCCTCAAGATCCCTTATCCCTCCATGGCTATGTCTACACTGGCATGATTTTCCGGAAATGCTTTTAACGGAAAAGTTTTCCGTTAAAAGCATTTTCGGAAAAGCGCATCTAGATTGGCAGGATGCTTTTCCGCAAAAGCACTTTCGCGATTGGGGCTTTTTTTGTGGAAAACACATCTCTGCTGTCTACACTGGCCCTTTTGCGCAAAAGTTTTTCGGAAAAAGACTTTTGCCCGAACGGGAGCGGCATAGTATTTCCGCAAAAGCCCTGACAATCTTACATGAGATCGTCAGTGCTTTTGTGGAAATTCAAGCGGCCAGTGTAGACAGCTGGCAAGTTTTTCTGCAAAAGCAGCTGCTTTTCCGGAAAAAGTGGCCAGTCTAGACACAGCCCATAAAATAAGGGATAAGGGACCTTTCGGAAAAGGACTTAATTCATCAGCATCAAGCATTTCTCACCTTATATTTTTGGGCAGCCTCCTTAATGAGCACCACTGTGTGTGCTTTGTGCTCTGGGGACTTGTCACACTCCACACAGAGGAATTCCCCATCGTCTTCACAGAACAGACTGAGCTTCTCCCGGTGTCTCGCACACAGATTCTCCTTTTCCTCTCTCCCCGGTTTCAGTCGTAATTGTTTAACATGTTCCACTAGATCAGCCAGCTGCCAGTTACGCCTGAAATTCACTTTCCCAATCTCTGCTCTGCAGATGGGACAGCACAACGGGCCATGATTTCCCTGTTCCCATGTGTCACAGTAGGTAGTGATGCAGACTTTGCAGCAGCTGTGCCCACAGTCTATCGCCACTGGGTCAGTAAAGTAACCCAGGCAAATTGGACACGAGGCTTCATCTTCTGCTTCCCTTTCAGGAGTCTCTGTGGCCCTGGCTGTTGCCTGCTCTGGGTTCTCATTCTCTCTTCCTGTTAAGAGCAACAGACAAAAGGCTTTTACAGTGTCACAGCTTTACTGAACCTACACACTTGTCAACAAACCTGTGTATTTTTACCTGCACATAGAGATTCTGAACAATGAAGTAAGCAGAGTGACTTGTAGAATGAAATATTTGTTTTTGGTCATTTCACTTTAGTTTTACATTAGCCCTGGAGCTCAGTTTTTGAACCGAGGTTTGAATCTGAATGACCTCAAAAGTAGTAGAGGTGTAGTAGGTCCACCAAAAACGGGTCATGTAAAGTATTTAAGGAAAGCATGTTCCACACGGGCCATCAGAAATATGTAGAGAGTTGTGTGTATGGGCTGAAAATTATGGTCTCCAACTTGTAGTTAAAGGCAGTTTGATGGAAGGAACTCACCCCACGCTGGATTGGGAAGAGCTAACTCCACGCTGTGGGCTGGTGAAGCCACGCCCCCCCACAGCTCTACTGGGCATGATCAAGTTGTAGCTCTAGTATAAAAAAGAGCAGCCCAGCTCAGTCTAGGCTGGCAGCCAAGAAGGAAGGATCCTGTTTGCTTACTCCAGCCCAGGAGAAGCTGGGACCCCTGACCATGGAAGTTGGAGGTGCCAAGACCCAGACCAATGCCAGATTCCCAACAAGGACTGGACTCGCAGGGAACTGCACATCCTGAGAAGTCCCGAGTCACTGTTGAGGCATCAACAGCAGCTTCCAGAGACCTCTGAGGGGGGTGGCGGGGTTGCTGTACTCCTGCAGGAAACTGGCATGGGCCCCACTGGGTCAGTGGTAGAACATTCCACCTCTGCTAGGGCCCTGGATTGGGGACCCCCCCATCCTAGTTCTCGCCCACCCTTAGAGGGTGACCCACTTCTCCAATGG